GAGACGCTATTTTAGAGCTGTGGTAGCGTGGCCGAGCGGTCTAAGGCGCTGGATTAAGGCTCCAGTCTCTTCGGAGGCGTGGGTTCGAATCCCACCGCTGCCATGGGCTTTTCATTCTCACTAGGGACTCTTTTAGGAGACTCCCTTTCGAAATCCTCAGTATGGATGGCTGGTTATTACGTATCAATACCATTCTTTCCCTCCTTTGACTTCTGTTTACCAAGGAGCCAGAGATAACTGCCCCCAGAACAGTGTTCCCTCTTTGTTGAGAGGCCAGTGTACTCCAGGTGCCTCAGATACAGTAATGAGTGACACAGGCAAAAGAAACCGTTAATGGCACATACTTCCTTATTACAAACAAACAAATGGATGTCTGACTCTTGCAACCTGCTCATAACTAAAGACAGATCCCACCAATTCCCCTAAAGGAATATTATTATTATTAATTTGAGACAGAATCTTGTTCTATTGCCCAGGCTGGAGTGCAGTGGCGCGATCTCGGTTCACCGTAACCTCTGCCTCACCGGTTCAAGCGATTCTCCTGCCTCAGTCTCCCAAGTGGCTAGGATTACAGGTACGCGCCAACACACCCCGTCTAATTTTTGTATTTTTAGTAGAGACGGGATTTTGTCATGTTGGTCAGGCTGCTCTTGAATTCCTGACCTCAAGTGATGCTCCCTCCTCGGCCTTCCAAAGTGCTGGGATTACAGGTGTGAGCCACCGCGCCCAGCCTAAAGGATTAATTTATGTTTGAAATCAGTTGCTGTTCTTCCTCCAGCCTCTCTGTAGTGTGCTCACTTCATGCTTGGAACCCTGGTTATGTGGACTGGAGGAGAGACAATCCTAGGGAAAGTGCCAGTGCCTTGCCTTGCCTTACAACTGCCAGACACATCCTGCCAGGTATTTTCTCTGCGTGCTACTCAGTACCCATGTCTCTGTGGTTTCCGGGACAGCCCTAGCCCTCCTCTGAGCAGTTTTCTCTGCTACTTCCGGCCTGTCTCCCATTCTTTAGACCTCAGCTTGGAAGCTGCTTCCCCTGGAAGCCTTCTCTAATTTCTTTCTCTTCCTTCGTCTAGCTTCGTGGTTAAAATTTGGGAGGGTACAGAGACGATATGCAAGGGAACAGCACAGAACATCCCTGCCCCATGGAACTCAAGGTTTAGCTTGGGTCTTATGGGGATTCACAAGAATTAGACAAGTTACTGCCCTAATATGGTGCAAACTCTACTAAAAAGGAGAGAGTTTTCTATGTGTAGATTTTGAATGATGTTCCAGATTTAAGATAATAAAAAAATAATATGAATTGTATGTTAGAAGGAAGGACAGCCACAGCATTGTTCCCAGTGGTTAATGTTGAGACACAACTTTTCATGGGTCTGTTTCTGCATGGACCGTTATTACTTATCAACCCTTACAATGTATTGTAAGCAAGCCTCTGTACTTTGTTCCCCACTCCAACAACCAGTTTTCTGATTCACCATGGACACCAACTAGTGTTTAATAATTCAATGTGACTCTGACACTAACTACAGTTAATTAGTGCAGACCCCACGTGTTATGGACTCAGACCCACAACACTGTCCCCTGCTTTATACATGTGGCAAGTACCAGGCCTCCTCTACTTCCAACTGACTGGCTATAAATTGGGGGTTTCCACAAATCCCTCCTCATGGTCCATAATTTGCTAGAACAGTTCACAGAATTCAGAAATACGATTCACTTATATTTACCAGTTTATTATAAAGGATACAGCTCAGGAACACCCACATGGAAGAGATGGATAGCATAAGGTATGCGGAAGGTACCTGAAGTTTCCATGCTCTCTCTGGGTGAGCTGCCCTCTCAGCACCTCAATTTGTTCACCAACTTGGAAGCTTTCTGAACCCTGTCATTTAGAGTCTTTATGAGGGTTTCACCACCATTGACACAATCCATTAACTCAATTTTCAGTCCCTTTCCCTTCCTCAGAAGGTGGAAGCCAGGGCTGAAAATTCCAGGCTTCTAATCAAGGCTTGGCCTTTCTTGTGACCGGACACTGAAACCATCTAGGGGCTTACCAAGGATTATCTCATTAGAGCAAAAGAGGCTCCTATCCCTCAATAAATTTTAAGGGATTTAGGAGCCGTGTGTTGTGACAAGGGACAAAGACTAAATATATATATTTCTTAATATGCCACAGAGTCACCAACTAATTTTGTTTTAGACAAAAACAATTTACAGCCAGTCAGTTGGAAGTACAGGAGGCCTGGGACTTGCCACGGCAATTGCTACAGCTTTAGACATCTTGACATCTGATAAAGTATGTCATACTCTTTTGTTATTTTTCCTTAAAAATTAACTTGGCTATTCTTGGAAGTATTATATTGCATTTCAATATAAATTTCAGAATCAGTTTGTCAATTTCCACAAAAATGTACTCAGGATTTTGTTTAGGTTGCACTGAATCTGTAGATCAATTTGGGGGAAACTGACATTTTTACAACATTTAGTCTTACAGTCTATGAACAAAGTGTAGTCATCCTTTCATTTAGATCTTTTGTAATTTTTCCAAATATAGTTTTATGTGAAGCTTTTACATATTTCTTCTTAGATTCATTCCTAAGTATTTGATCATTTATGATGCCATTATAAATGACATTTTAAAGAAAATTTCATTTTTGAAGTTTTTATTGCTAGTGCATAGAAATATAATTGTTATTGAACTTGTATTCTGCTACCTTGTTGAATTTATTAATTTTAATAGCTAATCTGTAGATTCGTTTCAGTTTTCTTGATGGACAATCATTAATATTTTTTCCTTTCACATCTTTATATTTTTTATTTCATTTTCTTGCCTTATTGCAGTTAGTAAGACCTGGAGTACATTTTTTTTTTTTTTTTTTTTTTTTTTTTTTTTTGAGACAGAGTCTCACTCTGTTGCCCATGCTGGAGTGCAGTGGCATGATCTCGGCTCACTGCAACCTCTGCTTCCCGGGTTCAAGTGATTCTTTTGACTCAGCCACCTGAGTAGCAGCCACATTCCTGGCTAATTTTTGTATTGCAATACCAGATACACGTAGTCAAACTACAATCCTTACCAAGAAGTATCTTATCATCTGTATTAAATGAAGTTGGCATTCTTCATTTCTTTTGCGAAGTAAAAATAATTTCATCATCAGTGTTTCTGGTAAAAATTTTCTGTTCGCATGTAGAATGTAATTAGATTAAAAAAAAGTGAGTTTTAGCTGATTTTTGTATGTAAATTTTTTTTTTTGGAGACAGGGTTTCACCATGTTGGTCAGGCTGGTCTCGAACTCCTGACCTTAGGTGATCCACCCACCTTGGCCTCCCAAAGTGCTGGGATTACAGGTGTGAGCCACTGTGACCGGCTTTTGTATGTAAACTATAACTTAGACTAACTCTTGTTTGGTAACTTCAGAATTAGAACTACAGCCTAGGGTTTTAAGCAACATGTTTTATCATTCGATTATGCACTGACCTTTGAATTCCTTCAACATTAATCCTACCAAACTTACTACTTATGGCAGAAGCTGTTCCAGTTGAGCATGTCCTAAACGTAGACGTCCTGTAGCTTCTACTTGTGGACTGTAATTCTATCCTGGGATAGTTGCAGAGCAAGATTAACCCACTGCTCATAAAGTAGTTCTTCAAAATTCACGACATATCTTTTTCACCAGGTAAAAAACTAAAATTTATTCAAATACACTCTCAAAATGTTCATTTTATGTGTTTAAGAATCAGCAAAAGACTTCTGGAAGTCAGGCTAGTAATTTCTTACTGCAAGGCTGAAAGTTAATCGGGAGTTCTAAAAGCAGATGTGAGGCTCACGGCGGTTATTTTAAAACAACAATAGTTGGGCCGGGCGCGGTGGCTCAAGCCTGTAATCCCAGCACTTTGGGAGGCCGAGGCGGGTGGATCACGAGGTCAAGAGATCGAGACCATCCTGGTCAACACGGTGAAACCCCGTCTCTACTAAAAATACAAAAAATTAGCTGGGCATGGTGGCGCGTGCCTGTAAGCCCAGCTACTCAGGAGGCTGAGGCAGGAGAACTGCCTGAACCCAGGAGGCGGAGGTTGCGGTGAGCCGAGATCGCGCCATTGCACTCCAGCCTGGGTAACAAGAGCGAAACTCCGTCCCAAAAAAAAAAACAAAAAACAAACAAAAAAAACCCAATAGTTATGTTGAAGATGGATTGGGGAAGTGGTGTCTGAAAGCGATCTGTTTGGATCCAATACGGAGGCCATCAGAGAAAGGGATGGATGTTAGACAACGAGTGTCCTGAAAAGTTTGCTAATAAATTTGGAAGATTTCATGTCATGTAAATATTTAAGAAATAAAACACTTTGAAAAATTTCGGCGTATCTATAACCAAATACTTAATTTGATGGAGCATGCTTCATGCTCCTCCATATATGGTTACTTGAGCAGTTTACAGTTGATTTCTTCTTATTTGTGACTTACTACAGGCACCCACCATCAGGCCCAGCTAATTTTTGTATTTTTTAGTAGAGACAGGGTTTCGCCATGTTGGCCAGGCTGGTCTCGAACTCCTGACCTCAAGTGATCCTCCTACCTCAGCCTCCCAAAGTGCTGGGATTATAGGCAGGAGCCACTGTACCTGGCCCTTATCTGTGGTTTCTAAACCTGTTCACTCCCTTTTCACTTTGAATCTCAGCAATTCTGATAAAATATGGAGAAGTATCATTCTAGCTTTATGTTAAAAAAAATTGCTAAAAATGATCAGTGTTTATAAATAAAGAACTGTTTTGTGCTGAACTGAGGTATAACTTCATGTCTGAAGGATGTGGTGCAAACATATGGGAATTGCCTAGGAAAGCTCGAGCATCTGGGGGTCATTTGCACAGAATTTACTAGTTATGTGATCTTGGGCAAGTTTGCTAATCTGTCTGTGCCTCAAATTCCTGATCTCATAGGGATGTTGTATGGATTTAAAAAGTTTAAACGTGTAAATCCCTTAGAACAGTGCCTGGAACACAGCAAGCACTAATAAGTGTTTATTATTACTATGAAGTGATTGACAAACTCCTGGAAGTAAATGTGCTCACTGAAAAAATACATACTGAATAGGAAGGTAAAGGACAATGTCTTTGGAGAATCTCACAATTAAGGATCAGGAAATCAGGAATATAGGAGACAGAAGGACCAGGCTCTTAGGTAGGAGAAACAGAAAGTAACACCAGCAACGTTATACTCAGGCAGTGGTCAAAATACTGACTACTGAGGTCCGAGAAACAGTTACTGGAGAGAGGGATTTCCTACTCTCATCAAGTTCATGGGCTCTCCACACTTGATGTTTTCTTTTCTTATGTCCAGTAAGATTTGAGCTCACTCTAAAAGCTTTTCCACACTCCTCACATTCATAAGGTTTCTCCCCAGTATGAACTCGCTTATGTCCAATCAGAGCTGAGCCCTGACGGAAGGACGTGCCACACTCACTGCAGGTGTATGGCTTCTCACCAGTGTGGATTCTTTTGTGCTGCCTCAGGACTGAACTATGATGGAAGGCCATTCCACACACCTCACATTTGTGAGGCTTCTCTCCAGTGTGAATTCTTTGATGATTGGTCAAGTTTGACTTCCCATTGAAAGCTTTGCCACACACTACACATTTGTAAGGTTTCTCTCCAGTGTGGATTCTCTGATGGACGGTAAGGCAGTGCCGATCTTGGAAGGTTTTCCCACAATCCCCACATTGATAGGGTTTCTCCCCAGTGTGCCCTCGTTCGTGAGCCCTGCGCTTACAGTTATGATGAAAGGCTTTCCCACACCCCTCACACCTGTAACGCTTCTCTTCAGGGTGGATCCTCCTGTGTTTGGTGAGTTCTGCCTTGATGCTGAAGTCTTTTCCACACTGGGGGCACCCATAATGTTTCTTTCGCGTATGGATTCGTTTATGTTTGCTTAGGTCTGAGCTCCGACTGAAGGCCCTTCCACACTTGCTGCATTCATAAGGTCGTTCCCCAGTGTGGATTCTTATGTGTTTGGTGAGGTCTGAACTCCCGCTGAAGGCCTTCCCACACTTGTCACATTCATATGGCTTCTCTCCAGTATGGATTCTGCCATGGATGGTAAGGGAATACTTAAACTGGAAGGCCTTCCCACAGCAGTTACATTCGTAAGGCTTCTCCCCAGTGTGGATGAGCTGATGCATACAGAGACGGTTCCTGGTCTTGAAGGCCTTCCCACAGTCCCTGCACTCGTGAGGCTTCTCCCGACTGTGGGTTGTTTTATGTCGGCAAAGAGCTGATCTACTGTTGAAAGCCTTCCTACACTGGGTGCAGTTAAAAGGTTTCTCCCCTGTGTGGATTATCTGGTGCATAGAAAGCTGACTTCTGGTCTTGAATGCTTTCCCACATTCATTACACACATGGGGTTTCTCACCAGAATGAATTTGCTCATGGAGAATGAGATCTGAGTGCCAACTGAAGTTTTTGCCACAACTGGCATATTTATGGAGTTTCTGTGCTGTAAGAACTCTATTACATGGACTATGCATTGAGTTTGGATTCAAGCTTTTTCTAAGTACCTTCTGGTTCTTTTGTTTTTTGGAGGTCCCTTCCTCTGAGCCTTCTTTCTCTTCCCTCAGTTTCTCCCGTTTAGGTGTTTCCCAAGGACTCTCTAATTTGACATTTTGAACACAAGCTTCTCTAACCTCAGGATCCTGGGAACCAACTTTTAGGAGACTGTTAAATTTCACCCAGTAGACTTGTCCATTTTCAAAAATCACTTGTTGTGAACTTGCCTTCTCATTCTCAGGCCATGTCTTGCCAGTTGACACTTAAACAAGAAAATACAAATGTCAGAGGAAAGGAAATAAGTCAGATGGGAGAGGTAAAAAAAATTTAAGGTGTTTGAAGAGTAAATAACTTTTCCACACTGGAAAAATTACCAACGTTGTGGCCAAACGGCAGACAAGGCTGAAATGATGGTAACAACTGAGGTATTTAAAAATCAGTACGCTTTATAAAAAAAATCCTTAAAAACCTTCTCCTCCTCTATAGTCTCCTAGTTTAGTGAGTGTAAATGCTATACACCTAGTCATCTAAGCCACAAGACGAAATTATCTTCAACTCCATCTCCCTCATATCTACCCAGCTAACATTTTACAAATTCTACCTGTGAAGAGTTACAGGGGAGGTGCTGAAATGCGGATGCAGTCCCTTTTCAAGGAACTGTCTGCTTTGCTCCCAAGAGAGAGTACTGGAAAGCCATATTTCTGTGTGACTCAGCTGATCTGGCTGGGGCAGATTAGATCTGTGCAATAACTGACCCAAACCAGGCTAGATTCTCTCATCCTAGACCTTAGAATTGTGATCTGAAGGTAGGTAAGGCCAGCTCTAAGAGTAGCTCAGTCTTTAGCACTTAAATTTGAGAACCAGTGGTGGTGGGACGGTATTTGGTAAAGAGGAGGGAACATGATACCATCTGGTCTGAGAAGCAGAGGTCAATTTGCCCAGAAAGAAGGAAGCTGACCCACAAAGAAGCAGGGAATACAGCTGGAGAGAGGGACCTGATGGTTTCCAGTCTCTTCTAGAGCCTGACACATACCTGCCCTTAGGTCCCATGACACATCTGAATAATAAATAAACTCACGTTTTTCTGCTTAAGCTAGCTTGGGTTAATTCCTATTCCTGGCAACCAAGGAGTCCACATATCTTATTAATATTATCTCTGAACTCTATCTCTTCCTCTTCATTTCCACTGCCAGTGCATTCTCACTTACTAAGTGCTATTCCCTCAAACATCCTTTAGTCTGACTCCCTTCTAATCCATCCTCCACACTGCTTCCAGGTTATTCTTTCTGAAAATCAAGTCTAATCATGTCACTTTTTAGCTTAAAATACTTCAATGGCACTCTTTATTTAACTAGACAGGAAGAAAGTAAAGCATATGGTCAAGACCCCTAGTTCCAGAGTGAGACTGCCTGGGTTCAAATCCTAGTTCTGACACTTCATAACTCTTAATAGCTGTGTGAACATGGGAGGATGACTTCACTTCTCCTTTGCCTCAGTTGGTTTATCTATAAAATGAACTCTAGACTATCTATGATGATTATATGAGTTGATTTATGTAAAGCACATGCCACACCGAAGTATTTTAATCAAAATTAGCTGTTACTATAAGTTCAGTTTTGTAGTTTAAATTCCTTAAGAACACTCCCGAAAAACAGAAGTCATATCATGACCTTGCCCCTTTCTACTGCTTATGAATCTCCCCAGAGCTATTCTACGTCCTTTGTGCTACTCATACTGAACAATTCGCAGTTCATATTCTTTTATTCCTCAATACTTTCTCACATGTTATTCCTTCTGCCTAGAATGCCTCTCACCTGTTTCAATTTATAAGCACTGGAGTAACTGATACACAGAAGGGTGATAAATATTCTGAGCGTTTTTTTTTTTTTTTGAGATAGAATCTCGCTCTGTCCGCCAGGTTGGAGTGCAGTGATTCTGGCTCACTGCAACCTCTGTCTCCAGGATACAAATGATTCTCCTGCCTCAGACCTCCCAAGTAGCTGGGATTACAGGCATGAGCCCAGCTATTTTTGTATTTGTAGTAGAGATGGGTTTCACCATGTTGGTCAGGCTGGTCTCAAACTCCTGACCTCAGATAATCTGTCCATCTCAGCCTCCCAAAGTGCTGGGATTATAGGCGTGAGCCACTGTGCCTGGCTTCTGAGCTTTTTCTGAGGGCCAAATTGCAAAATCTATTAAATAGGTTGCAAAGAACCAATTAAACAATGACAGAATAATTGCCCAAATAGTTTGTCACTGTTTCAGTTTTCTTAAGTTTCCTAAATGGGTTTCCTTTCTGGGCCCTTTGGGCCGAACAGTCCACCATTGAGAATGTTCCATAACCATTGTCACATGGAAGATCAGAAGGGACTGAAAGCTTCTCTATTACTCACCCAGGCAGGAGCAGCTGAGGGACTCCCTATCTTGTGGATCCTGCACACAGGGCTCCACTCCTCGCTCCAGATGAGAGATTAAAGGAGGTTTAGGAAATAGAAATCCTGGTTGAAGAGAAGAAATAAGTGTGTAGAGTAACATATAACTTAATGCTTACCCCTGATCCTTCTGTTTGCATATGGAAACAGGAAAGAAATGTTAACTTACGTAGAGAAAAGGGCTTTTCAGGGGTTTTGTAACATGTAAAAGAACATGTTTAGGGACTTTTTCAGAAAAGTCACATTCAAAGGGAAAGAGAAGGTTCTGGGAAATAGTCATTTGGGTGTACTTCCCTGTTTTTTTTTTTTTTTTTTTTTTTTTTAAGGAGAATAGGAGTCTATACAGGAAGACTACCAATCTTAGGTACCTAGAAGGCAGTTCATGACTGGGGGCAGAATACAGAACATGTGATAAAACAATGAGAGGCATGAGGAAGCAAAAACCCAGGGCACACAGAAGCTAAGCATCTTCTTTTCACCCAGGCAGAGTCTCATTCTGAATCAGAAAACAGCAACTATGTTAGCCAAAAAATTATCTTACTATGTAACAGAGGTGACTAAAAACTCTAATTTTTGGGTAAGATCCTCACGATAAAATATAAGGACTCTGACTTTCCATATGAGACCTCATATACATCAATAAATAAAGCAATTAAATTAAAAAAAAAAAAAGAAGATAGAAAGCATCAAGTCAAGTGAAGGGAAAGTCCTTACCAACTGATACCATGTTCCCGTAATTTTCCAACATCACATCCTTATAGAGATGCCTCTGAGCGTAGGTCAGACATTGCCACTCCCTGTCAGTGAAGTTCACAGCTACATCCTCAAATGTGACTGATTCCTGAAATAATATGCTCCTGCTATCCTGAAGGAAACAGAGGCAAAAGAAAGGAATTTGCAAGGAGGACGTTTATAGAAGTGAAAGTCTGTTACCGTTTGCCCAATATGTACAAATGAGATGAAAGGAAGCATGGGTTTTGATAGCAAAAAATCATGAAAGAGAAAACCCACAAGTGGTTTATCATGCAACAAAATGTTCCTTATGAGAGAGAGAGAACCTTGACTTAGGAGTTGCACAGCCAGAGAATGCAGTGAAAATAAGGCCATATTTTGGGGGTAGTGATGTATTTTCAGGGAGAAGGAAAGGGGCCTCAGCTCACCTGGGCCTGGTTCATCAGTGTGATATATGCTTGCGGCAGTTTTCCTTGGCTTCCATCTTTAGTGAAGGCAGGATATTCAGCGGGCGATAGAGCTGAGGGAAGATAAACAAGCCAAGAGTCAATTTAGCACAGTATTAATGAAATCTCCTGCATTCATCTTCTCTTTCTCAAAGGTAGAAGCTTATGCAGTTCTAACCTAGGGCTTCAGGCTACTGCCTTACAGCATCCTTCCTCTTCATTATTTTTCTAGTCTCAGCTTCCAGTGTTGGGCATCAGGCCCTGGAACAGTAGCCAAGACAACTCTTAGAAGTGTACTCTCCTCCTCTCTCACCTCCTCTGTTTTCCTGTGGTCTTTGTCCTGGAATAACCTTTCCCCCTCCCCAGGCAGGTCTGGTAAAAAGGCCCAAATCAGTGACTCCCAGGTTTTGGATAACTTTTCTTCCTGTTTTTGAATACTGAAGTCATTTCCTCCAAAATACTTGGGAGTAGAAGGAGGGTGAAAAAGTTTGTGTGTGTGTGTGTGTGTGTGTGTGTGTCGGGATGTGTTGATCACAAGCATCCAGAGATAGGACCAAAGCTTATTTCTTCAGGTAACTTAATAGCTGGTCCACCTCCAGCTAGTTTGTTATATTTTTTTCCCCTTATTCTTATGAGAAGAATCATTCTTTCTCTGATTTTGCATGTTTTTCCTAATTCCCTAGTACTAAGCTGTCATCCCTACACCAATATAGTATAGCACACACAGCATTTTAAAATGCAAAAGAAACTTTAGGAAGAATGTCCAAGTGTTCAGGTATAATCCATACGATTGGGTAAGAAGTGGTTTCGTATTACTAATTAATAGGGCCTTAGTTTATTTTTTGCAGGCTCGCACAATCTTTCTGCAGCTTCAATGTTTAAGGTGCCTATTTTTCTTGATAGTTTATCAACACATCCCCAAGTCCGAATCTGAATAACTGCTTTCTGCTATTAATCACCAGCAGGGTCAAAGTAATCTATTGATAAGATTTAAGGATCACCCTTTGGCTTTAGACCTCCAAGACTATCATTCCATTTTTACCAAAACCTGATTTTAGAACCAAGCTGATTTTTTTCACTGAAATTGCCCAAGAAGACTCTTGTTTCATTTCAGCTACTTGCAGCTTCTGACCAAGACGAAGGCTACATCTCAATTGTGTTGGCTCCATACGGTTTTTTCCACTGTCTTGCCTAAAAGCTCCAAGTTCCTTTATAACTGTTTGTCTCAAAAAGTCTAAACTCACCTGGATAGCACACAACTCAAAGAACACAGGTTTGTGTCATATTAATGTTACATAACAGTTCTTTTCTTTATAACATTAACACAATTAAAGCTCTCTATTGGATGTTTTCAACCATTATTTATTTTATTATGAATATTTTCAAGTATATAGAAAAGTCAAAAAATTATATAGTAAATATCCATATACCAACAACTCACATTCTACAATTTACGTTCTGCAATATTTGCGTTATCACATACTTATCCATTTATCTATTCCTCTATCTGTTCATTAACGTATTTTATTTTTTGAATCATTTCAAAGTAAATTGCAAGCATCAGTACACTTTGTCCCTAAACACTTAATGTATATCACTAACTGGAAGTTTATATTTGTTTACCTTCTTTGTTCAGGTAAAATTTATATATAATGAAATGCACGTCTTAAATGTACCCTTATAGACACTGTGACAGAAGCATACTGCTATATGACTCCAATTCCTCTCCATCTACGTTGCTCCTGGTTTTTACCATATCTCCTTCACAACTGGGAAAGTCTGTCACTCATAGTGATTCGTAAGCTTTACTTTTAGCTTTAGAAATTGAAAGGTCAGTTATTCCTCTTAAGTTAAAAATGAATTTAGCAAAGAGGTTACATGAAAAAACAACATAAAACTTTTTGTTAAAGCAATATACAGATATTTTGTGGGATGAGATTAATACATTTGTACTGTATTACATGATATGTGGCTGTAGATTTTCTGATTCTGAAAATCTACCACAGGAGATTTTAACACCTTTTGAGAAAAAGAGGACTGGGAGACTCAGGCATCTGAGTTGAGCAATAGCTACTATTTTCTGTTTCTAAATTTATAAAAAAGTTACGTTATATATTAATTCTCATTTATGATACCTTGTACAGTAGACATTTCAGGATTCCTCCTATGGAGGTCTCAACATTGTATCTAGAAATATATTTTATTTTTCTTGTTGCAGGTAACATATACTAAAAAGCTTACTTTGGAATGTGCCTACTCATCTGTCCAAAAGTCTATGCCTTTCTGGGACTGATTTTATGACTCCTGAATTGCTATATACCATTTCCTAGGTTGCACCTCCAACAGCAGCATTTTTTGTTTGTTTGTTTTTAGACAGAGTCTCACTCCGTTGCCCAGGCTGGAGTGCAGTTGCACGATCTTGGCTCGCTGTAACCTCCACCTCTGTGTTCAAGTGGTTCTTCTGCCTCAGCATCCTGAGTAGCTGGGGTTACAGGCGTGTGCCACCATGCCTGGCTAATTTTTACATTTTTAGTAGAGATGGGGTTTCACTATACTGGCCAGGCTGATCTTGAACTGCTGACCTCAAGCGATCCAACCACCTCAGCCACTCAAAGTGTTAGGATTACAGGCGTCAGCCATAGCACCTGGCCCACTAGCAGCTTTTATACAAATCTTTTTTTTTTTTTTTTTGGGACGGAGTTTCACTCTTGTTACCCAGGCTGGAGTGCAATGGCGCGATCTCGGCTCACCGCAACCTCCGCCTCCTGGGTTCAGGCAATTCTCCTGCCTCAGCCTCCTGAGCAGCTGGGATTACAGGCATGCGCCACCATGCCCAGCTAATTTTTTGTATTTTTAGTAGAGACGGGGTTTCACCGTGTTGACCAGGATGGTCTTGATCTCTTGACCTCGTGATCCACCCGCCTCGGCCTCCCAAAGTGCTGGGATTACAGGCTTGAGCCACCGCGCCCGGCCTATACAAATCTTAACCACTTTTCTTCCTCACATATGTCACCAAAGAGCACAAAGCTTCAATGAGAAAACTACTGCTCCTTCTTTTGTCACTGCTTTATGTTTCAGAGGTATCTACACATCATTGAAAAGTATCAGAGCTCCAAAAAGGTCTGCAGAAGTAAAATTGTATATATTCAAAGTTTACATGTTGGCAAAATTATGGTTGGGTATGAATTACTGAATTATACCACAAGTTTTATAAGTGTAAAATATTATGTATAAATATGTATGCTATTTACCATATATCCCAAGTTATATACATAGTAAATGTCTGACTGCATTGAATTTCTTTGATAAACTGCTTTGTAGAATCTTTTATAAATTTTTGATATTTTTCAAAATTTAAGATACCAGCAAAAACGGATTATTTAGTTCTGCTAGATATCTATCCAAGCCTAGTATAGAAACAAAAGACTTTTTATAAATGCTCAGTAATGATCAGATTTTTGGGCTCTGATTTTCCATTCTGTGTCCTTTTCCATTTTCCATTCTGTGTCCTTACTCCATTCTCAGCTGCCATGACTCCTGCCACAATCTCCTGTGTACCTCACCTCTTTTCTGAGGGAGCTGGGTATCTTGGGGGGTCCAGAGCAGCCGGCTTGGTGGTCCTGAACTCTCATTCAACAGCACAGCCTATTGCAAGGCACAGAATGAATTCAGGGAAGTTATGAAGGTGAGAAAAAGAGATAGGAAGATGCAAGTAACCATATAGTTCTATCCATGGAAACTGTCTCCCAGAAATACCGAAAGAGGGGAAAAAATCATGGACTCAGTTCCTAACACCTTATGAAAACTAGAAATGGCATCCAATTACCCTCTACAACTACAAAGCTTTAATGATCACCAGCTCAAGCAGGAAAAAGAATATCTGGGAGATCTTCAACAGTATCTAGAGTCGGACCCACCACTACTTGCACTGCTTTCTTTCTTTCTTGGATTCACATCTCCTTCTTCCTCCTTGTGATTTATCACAGACCCTCCTCTTCTTACCTCCTGCATCTTTTTGCCCAGGTTTCTTTAACAGTCTTCCACCGCTGCCCCAGTATCTTCCTACAGGTCAGATCGAGTTCTCAAACAAGTTGTGAAGTGGCTCCAGATGTCAGACTCCTTTGGAGAACATACGTTTTGGTGATGCCAGCCAAAGGGCTCTTCTTGAGCCACAGGACAGCTTTTGTTTGGCTTAACGTGTCAAACACTGCCCTGGATTTGGGGTTCATTAGCAACACTAGACCAGTTATGATCAAACATCTTGTTTTCCTGCATATTTGGTGAAGGGGAAAGATAGGACTGTTACCACATTAAAAAAAAAAAGGTAGTCAACTGAGAACCTGAGGCAGGAAGAGAAACTGAAAATGTGAACATATCCAGAATACAATCTCTACTGCTACCACCCTTGTCTGAGCCACCATCACCTGCTACCTCCCCTTCTTCCCATTACTGCAGTAGCTTTCTAACTGGTCTCCTTTCTTCAATCTTGGCCTTCCTCCAGTCCTTCTCAATAGAGCAATCTGAGTGGTCCGTTTACAACTTGAGTTGGATCATTGCATCTCTGCTCAAAACTCTCCAGTGGCTCAACCTTACTCATAATAAAAGCTGAAGTCGTTACAGAGGTATACAAGGACCTATTCAAAGTGCACGTTACTTTTAACTTCCTCTCCTGCTCACTCTAAAGAAAAGTTCAAGTCTTAAGCGTGGCATACAAGTCTACAGCATGTGCGATTCTCAACAGCCCCGCTCCCTCAATCTTCTCCAGCCACAGCGACCTTCCTTCTTCCCTATCTTAGGGCCTTTCCATTGGCTGCTCCCTTCACCTCAAGCGCTCTCCATGGCTAATAATCTTGCCTCCTTCAAGTGTTCTCTTATATGACATCTGGCCAAGGAGGTCCACTCTAAGTGCCTGATTTAAAATTGCAACCTATCCCCTCCCTACAATTCTGATGTGCCTTACCTTGCTTTACATGACTCCTTCTTTTCCTCTGTTGCACTTTATCACTTTCCAATATGGTGCATAAATTACTTATTAATATATACAGTGTGGGTCGGGGCGCTGTGGCTCACGCCTGTAATCCCATTACTTTGGGTGGCCAAGGCGGGCGGATCACGACGTCAGGAGATAGAGACCAGCCTGGCTAACACGGTGAAACCCAGGCTCTATTAAAAATACGAAAATTAGCTGTGCGTGGTGGCGCTCGCCTGTAGTCCCAGCTACTCGGGAGGCTGAGACAGGAGAATCGCGTCAACCCGGGAGGCGGAGGTGGCCGTGAGCCGAGATCGCGCCATTGCACTCCAGCTCGAGGGACAGAACGAGGCTCCCTAAAAAACAAACAAACAAACGTTTACAGTCGTTCTGCCCTCGCCAAAACGTAGGCTCTTAGGCTCCGTGAGGGCAGGAATTTTTGTCGTTTTGTTCCCTGTTCTATTCTCAACGCCTAACGCAGCACTTGCAACAGTATGTGCTGGATTAAAAATTTGCTGACTGATTATACGAATGCACGCTGTGGAGAAGAATAAAAAGAATGGCTCAGGGGCCGCTGGGAACAAGAGGAGGGTAGGAGGTGAGGCAAATACGCCGGAAAAGCTCATTTTGGGGATTGGCTTCGAGGCCGGAAACTGCAGCGGACCCCCCCTCGAATCTGGCCCAAAGCCCCGCCCCTGCCTGCAACCCCTGGGCCCGCGTTTAGGTGACGGGGCGGCGGCGCCGGGCTCCTCTCCGCTCAGCTGCAGATCGCGACTCACGTCCGCCCAAGCCACCGACCTTCCGGCCGACGAGACACAAAAACGTACGGCAGATCCACTTCCTAGTCCGCCAATGCCATTTCCGGTGACGTTCTAGGAAAGGCGCCAACTCTCTGGTCTACGCGTGCCCTCAGACTCTCCGCCCTCCTCCTCGCGGCTCAGCCTTCTAGGAGTTTGCGCGCGCTGAAAATCTAGGTAGAAACGGACAGAAGTTTTGTGACAAATATATGAAAAAGTTATTTTTAAATATTAGCTAAGAACACAACGGAATGTCTTTTTCAAAAGTAAGTACTATTTTAAGCCTATGCAGAAGTCGAAAGAAGAGTATAAACCCTCATATACCTATCGTTCACGATTAACAATACATGAAATACTTGTTTCATCTATGTCCATTTTTCCTGCGAAACGTTTTAAAGCAAACCCCAAATATGTAACTTTCAACTTCATTATGCATTTCTTTGCAGAAGGATATTTCCTTACAGAATCACAATATCATTATCACATTTAACAAAATAATTCCTGGTTATCATCTAATATCAAGTTCATATTATATTTCCCTAAATATATACGTATGCTTCTTACATTTGTTTTCTTTTTCATTGAGGACCTGAAATCCATATTTTAATTTGGGCATGTGTCTTAATTTTTTAAAAATTCACATCTGGGCCAGGCACGGTGGCTCATGCCTGTAATCCCAGCACTTTATGCCACACATCAGGAAGCAGATAATGTTTTTGATGCTAAGATTGACCAATGGGTTTAATACTTGATAGTTGAATCCCTCCATGTAAACTTACCCGTTTGCTTTTAATCTGATACATTCGGTCACTCATCATTTTTGCCAAATGTACCCATTTCTTCAGAGGTTGTAAAATTGTAATTTTTCTAATTCAATTTTTTTTTTACATTTATTAGTTAGAATTCCTCTATAAAGAAAAACTTTTCTTCATAATTTTAGCAATTCAGGGCTATTTGGTTATCCTGAAATGTAGTTTGTACAGAAATACAGACTTTAATTTTCAACATAATTGCCAATTTTCAGAAAAAGCAGTTGTGCCCTAGGTGCCATCAGTGGTGACCATCTTACAAAATGTGATGTGATAGCCATCCTACAAAATGCCTGGCTGGGCCCTATTGTCCAGCATTCACATCCTTGTGTAGCCCCCTTCCATAGTGTATCACTGTTGGTTTGTGTGACCAATGATCTGGTAGGAGTGATGCTAGGTGTTTTATTTTTTTATTTTTTTGTGACAAAGTCTCTGTTGCCCAAGATGGAGTGCAGTGGCGCAATCTTAGCTCAGTGAAATCTCCACCTCCCAGGTTCAAGTGAGTCTCCTGCCAAGTAGCTGGGACTACAGGCACACACCAGCATGCCCAGCTAATTTTTGCATTTTTAGTAGAGATGGATTTCACCATTTTGGCCAGGCTGTTCTTGAGCTTTTGGCCTCAAGTGATCTGCCCGCCTCAGCCTCCCAAAGTGCTGGAATTATAGGCATGAGCCATTGCACCTGGCTGATGCTACATTATCTCTAATATTAGATTGTAAAATAATCTATGGCTTCTGTCTTGGTCTCTTTCTCTTCCTTTCTTAGATCACTCACCCTTGGGAAAGTCAAATGCCATATTGTAAGGAGAAACCCATGTAATGAGGAAATGAAGCCTCCTGCCAATGGCCACATGAGTGATTTTGGAAGTGGATCTTTCTATGTTAGTCAAGCCTTTAGATAACTGCAGCCTCAGGTGATGTCTTGGGTGCAACCTTATTAATGACCCAGAACCACCAGGCAAGCTGCTCCCAGATTTCTGGTCTGCAGAAACTGGGGAATGGCTTTGAGGGAGGAAACTGCAACAGATGTTTGGTTCTAAGTTTTAGGGTAATCTGTTGTGCATCAGTTGATAACTAGTACAAATTTTTTGTTTTCTCTTTTTGCATATCAATATGAACACATGGATTTAAAAAATACGTTCAATGAGTCTCAATCAATTGCAGCTATTATTCTTTTTAAGGTTCAAATTATTTCATCTTTGGTCAGTGGGTGTCCGTTCATTTTATCTCCTGTGTCCTTTTCATCCAACTCTGTGTCTTTGATAGCTTTTTTCCTTTATGGCAAGATAAATGTTTCAGACACATTTCGTACATTTCCTGCCTCAGACCTGCAATCAGCCATTTTTCCAGGGTGTTCTGGTGCTTTCAGTGGGGTCAATACCTTTGTGAATAGTCATGGTTAACTGCTTTGAAAATGTATCAAGTAAAATAAAATTTGCTTAATTATTTGCCTGCCTCGGCCTTCCAAAGTGCTGGAATTACAGGTGTGAGCCATGGCGCCTGGCCACAATCCCCAGATTTTATAAAATTTTATTCTGGTCTAATGGAAATTGGCATTTAACTAGAATGATCCCTAAAGTAGTAAGACTATAATTTTGTAAATTATAGTTATATAAATTATATAAATCAGTAAATACTGTGTAAAGGCACTGACTGTGCAAGGAGCTACAGGAGAGATGCTATGCATGGTCATCTACCCTTCAGGCTGACTGGGCACGGTCTTTCTTTTCAATGTTAATCTACTTAACAGTATTAATGTCCAGTTCACATATTTTTGTGCTGAACATTCATGAAAGACTGCTATACTCTTTACTGTTATAAAGATACTTCCACAGTACACCTTTAGTTATACTTTAATAATCTAGTTCCATTGAGACATTTACACTATTTGTTCTTGGCTAACCACAATCGCTCATAAAATATCTCCTAAAAGATTTACTACTGGAATTTTGCCAGGGATCCATGTAAATTTTTTCTCCCTGTTAATCCTACAGTTCACCTTCTTACTTTTTGAAAATTTGCTTATTTTTCCAAGTTGGGCATCTCTTGCACTACTCAAAAATGGCCTTGAGGGGTCCTGTGGCCAATCCTCCTGAGTTTTAGAACGCTTTAAGCTGGGCATGAATACTTGTGCTCATTTATGGCAAATAGTTATTCTTTTACTGCCTTCCTTACATAAATGTTTATTGTACCATTCTCAAATGTCATGAGATTTGATGGAGAAATGAATGCCTGATTATGTTAAGTAATTCTCTGCCCCGTGGAGCTTACACTCAAGTAATTCTAATTAACTTGTACTTTCGTCTTCTTTGTTTTTCTCTTTCTACACTGAAGAGGATGCATTTCATATTCTAGCTAATCTGTTCCCCCAAAATGATGAGTGTAACACTGGCCAAGCTGTGATTCACAGCACAGCTTTCTGGAGTTTGCACTGCTAGACCAAAGGGAAGACTCCTCTGCGGATCCTAGAAGGGCGAAGCACGCGTTACCATGGAGACTGCGGAACGGAAAAGCGTTAGGTTTCTTGTCTACGAGCCGCGGATGGGGTCGTGATTCCTTCGACCTCGCAGTGGAGAAGGGAGCGGCAGGTCTTCGGACTATACTTTGGCCACACTGCGGGGAAGCTGAGGCCACAGAGCAGGTCCTCGCCGGGGAAGCCCCTCCTGCCGGAGCTCTGGGGCGGGGCGGGGCGTGGAGGTGGGTAGAGAGGATCCCACCTGCAGAAGCATCTTATTTTTATCCTCTTCTCGGCTGTTTTTCTCTCCTCCGTTTGTTACTCCGTCTTTAAGCCATCCTTTAATATTAAACATTAAAAAATATATTTGGCAAACTTTTAAAAAACATATATTTGTTATACTTTAAGTTCTAGAGTGCATTTTCAGAATGTGCAGGATTGTTATATAGGTATACATTTGCCATAGTGGTTTGCTGCCTCCATCACTCCGTCACCTACATTAGGTATTTCTCCTAATGCTATCCTTTCCCTATCCACCAACCCCTGACAGGTCCGGGAGTGTGATGTTCCCCTCCCTGTGTGCATGTGTTCTCATTGTTCAGTAACCACTTATGAGTTAGAGAACGGGCGGTGTTTGGCTTTCTGTTCTTGTATCAGTTTGCTGAGAATGATGGTTTCCAGTTTCATCCATATCCCTGCAAAGGACATGAACTCATCCTTTTTTATGGCTGCATAGTATTCCATGGTGTATATGTGCCACATTTTCTTTATCCAGTCTATTGCTGATGAACATTTGGGTTAGTTCCAAGACTTTGCTATTGTGAATGGTGCTGTAATAGACATATGTGTCCATGTGTCTTTATAATAGAATGATTTATAATCCTTTGTGTATATACCTAGTAATGGGATTGCTGGGTCAAATGGTATTTGTATTTCTAGATCCTTGAGGAATTGCCACATTGTCTTCCACAATGGTTGAACTAATTTATGCTACCACCAACAGTGTAAAAGTGTTTCTATTTCTCCACATCCTCTCCATAATCTGTTGTCTCCTGATTTTTTTTTTAAAATTAATTAATTAATTATTTATTTATTTTTTTGAGACGGAGTTTCGCCATTGTTA